CTGTTCTTGTGAGGATGCTCGACAAAACAGACATTTTGGCATAATTGTGTGGGTTATTGTTCGTTCAAGCGTGAAAGAGAACTCGATACTGGCGCGCGTCTTTCTGTGCGTCCTGTGTGTGTGTGTCAAAAGGAATGCATTCACTGACAGCGCGTTCTCTTTTGTCTTGTCGCGAATTAATGGTTTACAAGCTCGAATGAGGAGCTAGTACAGTGATCTGTCACGCCACATCAAAGAGCGCCAAAACGGCATTTATTGTTTGAATATCGTGATCAAATAGTCAGAATTTGAAAGATTACACCTTGCTTATTATCGAAAGTAACAAAACACGGAGCTTGATATTTGGTGTTAATGGTGGTCAGGGTACAAAACTGAATTCGTTGTGTACACATAAGACATGAGGTCCAATGAGCCGGGCTGGGCGGGGCCGGGGTAGCAGGGGGCGGGGCGTGTTCGGTACGCCATGAGAGTATCGCGATTCGAAATCGTGGCTTCTGTATCGCGGTTCTTCGGTTTGGTTTGAATATCGTTACACCCCTAATTCACATGCACTATTGTACAGTGCATCACCCAGATCAGAATCAAACTTGTTAATACATCAATATTATAACAAAGTCTGTACTCAGTGAACAATGCAACATTCTTCATAAGTGTATACGTTATTCACAACATAAGCCCTACTCTTCTGCACAATGGTAACGATCAAAACTTTAACAAAATAGAAACTCTTTCAAATGTCAAACATTACTGAACATTTACAGATGTTTCCCTTTACTCAGAAACATAAAATAACACTTAATTTCAACATTCACTCTCTATTTCCAGCCATGAGCAAAGCATGCTGGGAACTAACAATAGTGTCTCTAAATAAAACTGAATAATTGAGATAATTCTCTTGAAATAAATAGGTAGCTTTTTTTCCTTCATTTTATCAGCTTAATTGGTTCCTCAATTCAAGCCTCAAAATTGTGTAGTTCTCGCGCATGCGTCGTGGAAATCTCTTAAACTCTCGTCTCAGGCCCACAAGGAAGAAAAGGAATAGTCGAATAAAGTCATTGTTTTTGTGTTTTTTCCGCACAAAAAGTATTCTCGTCGCTTGATAAACTTATAGTTGAGCCACTGTAGTCACATGGAATATTTAAACATTTTCTTCAATGACTTTCTGGGCCGTCAAGTTTCACTCCCTCAGGAAGCCTATGTAGCAGTGATCCAGCTCTCAAATTTAATCAAAAATATCTTCATTTGTGTTCCGAAGATGAACGAAGGTCTTACGGTGTTGGAACAACATGAGGGTGAGTAATTAATGACTTAATTTTCATTTTTGGGTGAACTATCCCTTTAAAAGATATGAACGACACGTTTAATTAATCTATCTGTAAATATCTTGATATTGATGAAACTTGCTCATTTTGTGGTATTGTTGAAGAAACAGCTGCCCATTTATTTTGTGAATAGATTTAGGGTTGATTTATGTTGTTATATTTTAAACTCTACTAATGTGAAACACAGTTTTATCCTTATAACGATATCATTTTTTATTACAAAATCCAAAAATCATCATCTCTTTAATATGTTGTTAATTTCTTTATTTTATATCCAAAAAAATTCTCCTTTCATTTTTCCTCTTTTTCTTGTTGAATTTACTTCTCGTTTCATCCCTCAAGACTTATAAATAACAAAAACATAATGCTTTTTTTAATGGATTATGAAGAACTATTTAAAGATATTTAGCCTTGTCATTGTTCTTTTTTTTACTGTGTATAAATGATCATATTATGATGTACACAAACCCATGATCTTTATGTTTTCGTCATTATGATTGTTTATTGTTAAAGATACAACTATGGTATCTTTCCCTGATCTTGTATGTAACTATAAGCTCTGCAATAAAAAATTATATGAGTGACAGGTGCACTTACACCTCATAACAATAGTAACTCGACAGCCCTAGCTAGAATGATTTTCCACAGCGTTTGTAATGTCTGGACAAAGGAGACGGGCAGCTGCTCGAAGATCTCATCTTTGGAGAAAACTGTTGATTTTATACTCGAAAAATGCAAGTATCACTCCTTAAAAATTAATATTACCTCAGAATAAATTGCATTTCCAACCACACTCCAAAACTTAAACAAAATAATAATAACTGCTGACCAATACTTAATTATATATCTTTTTTTATACTGAAAATGCTATAATTTAATAAAACAAGCAAAATTTAATTTGTTTTGTTATATCCTCCTGGGACCCAGGAATAGACTTTTGTCCACTGTAGTTGACATTATATTTTAGTGAATTTCGGTGACATCATACATGTCACATGTCACACCTGGGTGTCCTGTAAAAAGCACATTCAGGGCTTTTCAGAGATACCAAATGTTTTGTAGTTTCACCATGAAAACAACTTCTCCTTGGTCTTTAAAAATGTCTGACATTAATTTAGTCATCAAATGTAGCACTCTTATGGAAATATGATAATATATTGTAATTATAATTTAAATTACTACTTTTCAAATTGTATTTCAATTCAATTCTTAAATCATGTTTATCAGGCATTTTGGGAGACACAACAAGTGAATATGGAAATAAATTATACATCAATATTCCTGTGAAATATTAGATATTATTATTAAAATGTTGCTAATTATTACTCCAATTATCACACTTCTTTTTTTCATTAAATGTTTCTCCAAGAACACATTAATGTGCACATTAGATACAGTGTATAGATACAGTGCATTGAATGGGAATATTAATTTATGGCCATTTTACCCACATATTGCATAAAGTAAAATGGTGTATCAATTAATTTCGTTATATCTTTCATAACTTAGTTGAGAATCATCTTTATACAAATTTTGCTTAAAAAAAACCTGAAACCTAAACAATTTTTGTTGATTGAAAGTAAAATCCCATTGTTTTTGTCTATACATATAATTTCATGTCATTTTATTTTTTAAACAACTGAGTCCTGGGGCCTATACCATGAAGCCGGTTTAGGTGGCTAGCCAGCTATGTTCCAGTTTAGTTTCCGCCAACCCTGGGTTTTAGGTACAATGAAAGTAGCTCGGCTTTAATCTGTGTTCGTCGCCATGGTATCTTACGCTGCACGGCTAACCTGCTCCGGGGCAGGTTATGTTCTGGATTCAAGATCTCAGACTGAAGTTTGACCAATCAGCTGTGAGCAAAGAAACATATATAGGTGACGTAACTAATTCCCAGCGTCTGTTCTCTGTTGCAATGGCTTCACCTTTTCTCCCAAATCCTGTGGACATCTCCGCGCAAATTGTTAGACGAGCACTTCGTAGAGAAAGGGTTTTTAGGGTCAGACAAAATCCATTTGACTTTACTGATACTTACTTGTATGAAAGATACAGATTTTCCGTGGAAGGAATGTCTTATCTTTGTGAACTTCTTGAGCCGCACATAACAAATATGACTCGTCGAAGCCATGCACTTACTGTACCGCAAATGGTATGTTTTGCGTTGCGTTTTTTTGCAAGTGGTACATACTTGTATGCGGTCGGTGATGCAGAGAATCTAGGGAAAAACACGGTCTGTCGAACCATTCGCAAGGTGGTCCTCGCTCTGCAAGGGTACATAAATAGCTTCATTGTGTTCCCTGGACATTTATCGACCATGTCCATAAAAGAGGGCTTTTATAAAATTGCCGTTAAGATATCTTGATAGGGTGACATCACATGAACAAATTGAACCTTTCACACTAATTTTCTTCTTCAAAAAAGCATATTTCACACTTAGAAATCAATTATACAATAGTCTGCAGTAGCTACCTGTTAAGAATGATTTTAAATACATATTTTTAATTCCTATGATAGGATTCCCTAGAGTCATAGGAGCAATAGACTGCACACATGTTGCAATCTCCACAGCTCTAGGAGAACATGAGGCAGATTATGTGAACAGAAAGTCCTTTCACAGCCTTAATGTTCAGGTAGGGCTATTATATAGCCTATGAAAAAATGATTTTTATTTGCATTGAGATCAATCTTTAAATAAATAGTAACTAACAGATAGGACAATTATTTACTGTACATTTCATCTGCAGATGACTTGTGATCATGAATGCATGATCAACATGCTTGAAAAACGCTACGCATTTCAACATGCTTGAAAAACACTTCTATATTCTTCATATTTCTGAAGAATAATCTCTTGCTCCTGCGCAGAAAAATATATAGCTCTCGCTCTATCCATATCAAACGCGATTGGTTGTTCAGTGTCGACGTCAATCTTTTATGTGCACGCGCGTGGAGTAATCATAGCTTAAGGATCAAAGCCTGAGTTGACAGAGAAAGTTGATGAGCTGCGTCATGGTACCAATAAAGCCTGATTGCATCGGTTTGGTTTTGTCGACTCAAAACCAATCCTGTAACCCCGAGTTTGTTCAACTACCATCATGGTACAGGCCCCTGGTGTCTACTACAGAGTACATAGCATAACAGATGAATAAAATATCAATTTTCAAATTTTTTTTTTCTTACCATTTTTTCTTATGCTCTAAACAATGTGATGACATGGAAAAAAAAACTAAATTCAAAAATCTTTTTTTTCTGGCTCTTAGGAGGATATGACATAGCTATGCATGAATACACACTAGATAAATGCAGTGAAACATCTAATTTTTCAGTCAAGCAATGAATGAATGCATACATTAATTAAATAATAACATTTTATATACTGACAACAATAAGAAACATGAATAAATTAGTAAAAGAACAAATCAAAGTAACCATCACAATAAACAAATGCATATACAAGTCAACAACACATGAAACAAAGCTTTATTCAAACTACAAGCATGTATTTACAGGCGCTGAACCCCACATACTGCCATCTCAACACAGCGGTTCCCATTCTGCGGCTTTATTCTGATGAATCAGCTGACCACCAGAGGTGAGCCGTCCCTTCGTGCCGGAGGTTGTTGCTGTGCTTCACAATCTGAGGCGATAAGGGCAGGTGGAGTAAGGGCAGGTGGAGTGAGGGCAGGTGGAGTGATGGAGGGTCTCATCCATGGCACCGTTTCCAGGATTCAGCTCTGGGCTCCTCATCTTCAGGGCTCACATCAGTCTGCAGACATTTCAGATCCTACAAAAATGCACAAACATTATACAAAAGCAGTCATTTTAACAGCACAATGTAATTTGATTTCTGTATTAAATGTAACATAAATGACCTTACTTTATATTTTAGTAAAATCCCTAAAACCTTTTTTTCCCCAACAAATGCCTCCATCATCTTTCCTTGCATCCTCTGCTCCGCCACAAAAGATCTGCAGCAAATGCAGAGAAATCAAGAATCAGAAAAGTGCTGTAATAACTCTGTGAAATTACAACGGAAATAAACTACAAATAAACATTTAAATCGATTGTTTTGTTATTTCTGTAGTATACTCACTCAAAGCCTTTGATGGCAGCATTCTGCTTTCCGGTGAAGAGGGCTTCATGAGCCACCCTCCAGCGGATAAGCAGACGTGTGTGCTCATCTGTCCCTGTAACATCCAGACAAAATTCACATTACCTCTGTTATTTATGTGCCCAGTACTACCTTTACATGTTGAGGTTGTTGCTGATAAGTAGTGAAGGGGGTGGATTGGAATCCACTGCTGCTTCAATGTATATGTAATGAATGAGTGATTATAATCAAGGTATTAATATCAAAGAGTAGAATGACTTCTTTAGGCTTGTGAGATTTTACTTTGTTATAGAAGTTACTGTTACCGGTACGTGTGGTGGTTGGAAGCACAAGGAAGCCGGAGAATAGGAATTAAGAGGATTTAATAAAACACAGGATAACTTTTACACACCATACACAAACAAGAATCGACCAGAAATGAGGGAGAACACAGGGTTTAAATACACAGAACAGATCAGGGAAACAAGGCACAGCTGGGGCAAATTAACACAACACAGGTGAATGAACTGAACACAAACAAGGAGCGGGAAAACTGGAACACAGGACTGAACCAAAAACACTAAGCAGGGGGAAACACAGGACACACATGTAACAGTTACCAGTGTGATTACTGAAATGTTCTTTTCATGTATTCTTTAATGTCTGTATTTGATATCTGAATGCAGTAACAGTGCTTCCTCATTTAGCCTGGCTTCCAGAAATGAAATAGGGACTTGTTTTGTGTTTGAGAAAGGTCTTCAACGTGTTAAAACATATAGGGGTCATTGAAGCCAATAGTTTAAGGCACCATTTCTTTGTTAAAGTGTAGCTCTCCTTGAGAGAAAGAATGCATTATCTTGATGTTTTGAGAGGACTCTCCTGTTTATAGTTAGAGCCTGGCCAAATCCAACCTTGGAAATGCTGTGTGTTGGTGTGTGTGTTAGTCTTCTTGGTTACAAGTTAAGGAACCACTGGCATTATTGGAGATTGACTGAGTTGTTGTTCTGGACATGCTGGCTTTCAGAAACCCAAATCTGCGACCTGGAAGGTCACGACGTTCCTAACTTCAGGGTCTGAGTGTCAGCTGCATAATCGATGGAGATATGCATCCGTCTATCTGTATATGTGTGGAAAATTACTGTTTATCTATTTCTTAGCCAATGAGAACCATTCAACCTGTAAGCAATGACGTAGCTTAGACCTTGGAAATGGTATAACTGCGGTGATCTTTGTAACAGTAAGCGGGCGACCTACAAACTCCTGTGTGAGTCTTGAAGCTGACTTCTGCTGATGAAACTGCAAACTATCTTCAGTAAAACTTTAATCTATTATAATTCTGACTCCGGGTCTTCATTCATCATATCTGGTTCTGGGTCTTTAACTTTTTTCCCCTAACAGTAGCTTTTTATCCATCATAAATGTTCCACAATTGTTTAGTTACTTTATGTAAATTTATTTACATTACTTACATTGGTCTAATGCAAACAGTGTTGACAACAGTGAATTTTACTACACAATAGTACACATACAGCTAAGAAAAGAAAAACAGTGAATACACACACATTTGATGGAATATTGAGTATTGCACTGCAACAGCACAAAACAGTGAGGCATAAAGGTAAGCTACACACTTGGCAAGAGGATCAGCCGCTCCCAAAATGTCACGAATCCTCTGGTCAAAGGTGAGTATTTGTAGTTTACAAAGATGCTAATGGTTATGCTGCATCTTGGTCAGAAAGTGAAAGAGAACAGCTCAAATGTGTGTCGTTTTGGTCATTTGGAGCTGGGTAATGTCAAATGATTCATACCCAAAATTTTCTAATTCAGCCCAATCTTATAGCCGGGCCTGTCACGAGGCCAGTGCATCGCTGTTTGGTAAAGCTGCCTGTACAATTTTCTTTATTGTTCATTAAAAAAAAGTCCAACCGGAGTGAGTTTTATATCTTCGAACAGCTCATGTTTTGCAGTTTACAGTGAGCCTAAGCACACAATTGTACGTTGTTCGCGGCCTGACAGAACATTGGTCAAATAGGCCTTGTGTAATGGCTCGAAGCTGTATTGTGACATTCACTGCAAAAAAATTGTTGTCATTCGGAGAATTAAAATACAGTATACATATTTTTTCGAAACAACACGTCAAATGCGACCCGTTCTGGTTTTCACTTTCCTACCGATCGGTCACATTTTGGCCAGAGTGAAGTCAAAATCACAAAAATGGGCAAAGGAAGTCAGCGATGTTCTCGGGAGAGCGGGCCGGACGCTTCTATACCCGCCTCGACGGGATTGGACCCTCGCTTACTGTTCTACAATTCCCAGAGAGTGCCCCGAGAGCTCACTAAATGATTTCCAAAAGGGTGTGGAAATACGCAAAGTTGTGAGTCTCGCCCACCTGGACGGTACGCCCCGCGAGGCCTACGAATCAGGCGTTTCAGAGAATCAGAGAACGACCAGAGAGCTGAATGTGGATTTGGTTTCCCCCGAATATCTCAAGAACCACACGGCGAAAAAATGTCAAACTCGGGTCGTCTGTAGGCGTCGAGGGGCCCTATCCAACGGGGCCACCCCCGTCCCCGAGGGCCTCGGGGTCAGGGAGTTACGTCCGGTCAAAGGGCGCAGGTTTTTCGGCTTATATCTCGAGAACCCCTCGCTCAATATTCCCCAAACTCTAATCGATCGTAGTGCTGGACGGGGCCTTTCGAATGAGCCCACTCCCGAGGTCCAACTCGCCCGGGTCCCCGAGTTACGGCCGTTCAAAGTCGGGGGTCCCAGCGAACGGCGAATCGGTAGGGGGCGTCCCCGCGGCCCGCCACCACCCTGGTTCGAGTCAGGGCCCCCGTGGGACCTCCTCACCCGAATTTGAGCTCTCTGGGTCTTCGGGTTGCCGAGATACGGGCGATTTTCTCCCGAGATCGTGACGTCATCAGCGGGCGCCATTTTGGAGCGCGCCCGGCGGTTTTCGGCTAATATCTCCGCGAAAACAGCACCAAAAATCATGGAACTTGTATCAGTTTGTTCAGTTCGACGGGACGGTTCGAACGAGCCCGGTGGTCGCCGGATCCGTTGAGTTTTCGCCGAGATATTTGCGTTTTTCGCTTCCGGTTCGCTATGGGGGGCTGTATCTCGGGCCCCCGGGGGCCCACGAGGCTGGGGGTGGGCTCGTTCGAAAGGTTTCGTCCCGTTCTACACTCGATAAAAATTTGGCGTCGATTGGACCCGCCTTCGCCGAGTTACGGGCGTTTGAAGCCGTTTGCAGTGGGGTTACCATCCTTCAAACTGCATGCGCTCTTAGGCGGCCGCCCAGGCCGAGCACGGTGCTGTATACCCGGCTTGGAGCGCCCAGCCCCGCAGTTCCGGAGGAATTGTCGGGGAAAAGGGTCACCTGCAACGTGCCACATGGGTTTTGTGAGGAGGAGAGTGCCCGGTTCTCCCTGGGAGTCTGGCGCTTGACTCTGGGGGGGCTTTGCTCTCCACGGAGGCTTGGCACTCCCGGGCCTTGACCCTGGGGCTTTGCCCTCCGTGGAGGCTTGACCCTGAGGCTTGAATCAAGGGCCGGGCTCGCTCCAAAACCTAAGTCCATAACGTTGAGGTGCACTGTGAGCTCCAGGCACACGGGTCTCCTCGGCCGGCCCGGGGAGGTTGATCCGACCCGGGCCGAAGGCGGGTGTGCCCGCCACCCCTGGCTCTCTGTCTGGAGCCAAGACGGTCCTGAAACGGGCCTCGGGGGTGATGTAGGAGAGGCGCACAGACGCACACAACCCCTCACCAGACCGTCGTTAGTCCCACTCAGAGTCACTCTGGGTGGGGATGAAATCTAGGTTCCCCCCTCGCCCTGGGCTTGACTCTGGTGCCAAGCTGGCTCTTGAAAACATTGAAACTTCCAGGAAAATGACGGTCTGGTTTTTCTCAAAAGTGCATCCCACGCAGGGTGCAGGTCTCTTGGGCACAGAAAAAGCCCAATGCCCATGGAGAGTTTGACTCTGGGCTTGACTCTGAAGTCTAGATCTCGAAAACTGACTAAGCCCATAAACGTGCTGTGGGTTCTGAGCTCTCACTGGCCAGCCCAGGGAGGGTGGCCCGTCCTGGGCCAGATTCAGATTTGCCTGCCACCCATGGAGGTCCGTGTGGAGCGAAGACGGTCTTAAAACGTGCCTTGGGGCTCTTGTAGAGGAGGTGAGAAGCCTCCCTGGGAATGAATACAGACAAAGAGAGCCCCTGGCCGGCTTGACTCTGGGGTCAGAATTGAAAAATCGACAAAGTCCATGAACGAGGTGTGCGTTCGGAGCGCCAGGGTCTTCAAGGCAGTTACCCATGCCAGAGAGGGTGCACTCTGGCTGGGGAAGTGAGTTCAATCTCCGCCGTTGTGGAGCTCTGAAAAACATCAAACCTCCAGGAAAAGACGGTCTGATTTTTCTGAAAAGTGCATCCCAGGAAGGGTGCGGGTCTCCTGGGCACGAATAATGACCAAAGCCCGTGTTGAAATTGACCCTGGGCTTGACTCTGGAGCCAGATTTGAAAAATTGACTAAGTCCATAAACGTGCGGTGGCCTCAAACCTCCATGCTCTCAGACCTCCCTGGCCAGCCCAGGGAAGGTGTCCCGTCCTGGGCCAGATTCAGATTTGCCCGCCACCCATGGAGGTCCGTCTGGTGCAAAGACGGTCCTAAAACGGACCTTGGGGCTCTTGTAGAGGAGGTGAGAGGCCTTCCTGGGCACGAATAAAGACAAAGAGAGCCCCTGGCCGGCTTGACTCTGGGGTCAGAATTGAAAAATCGACCAAGTCCATGAACGAGGTGTGCGTTCGGAGCCCCAGGGTCTTCAAGGCAGTTACCCATGCCAGAGAGGGTGCACTCTGGCTGGGGAAGTGAGTTCAATCTCCGCCGTTGTGGAGCTCTGAAAAACATCAAACCTCCAGGAAAAGACGGTCTGATTTTTCTGAAAAGTGCATCCCAGGAAGGGTGCGGGTCTCCTGGGCACGAATAATGACCAAAGCCCGTGTTGAAATCGACCCTGGGCTTGACTCTGAAGCCTAGATCTCGAAAAATGACAGAGTCCAAAATGTTGCGGTTGGCTCAAAGCTCCATGCTCTCAGACCTCCCTGGCCAGCC